TTATTAATTATTTAATAAAAAATATTCATGTATCATAAATATTAAAATTAATACTAATTTTTTTATTTTTATATAAATTAATATATAAAAAACACATTAAAGATTCCATTAATCTATATCTTTAAAATATAGGTCAGATAAACCTTATTTTAAAAATATAAATTAAAAAAACACTTTTTTTATTCATTTATGATCCTTCTTTATGGAATTTATTCATGATTATGAACTTTTAATATTGCTTCTTAATTACAACCATTCCGCGATAAGAGTAGCGCGGGGGACGTGCGACCAAAATATGCGTGCGCCACGAGTGAACTACCGTTGACTTGGCTTCTTACTTTTGACTTGGTAGGTTTATTTTTTTACCCCACAGATTAAGATGGCATCATAGGATATGCCGACTCCATTACTATTTGCTAAGATTGTGTAGGATGCATTTGGGGTGGTTTTCATCTAGGTAATTCAGCTATTGGAGCTACATATCATCATGATCCTATTACTATCTTAATTGAAATTTACATAATATAAATAAGCACGCATAAGTACGTATACACAATAAAAACTTCTATGCAATTATTTTTTTGTTATTGACACATTTAATTATTGGTTATATGAGAAGAGGTAATTTTTTTTTATTCTTAAATTCTTTTTCATTAGATTCAAAATTCAAATTTTTAATTTTTAATTTTAAATTTTAAATTTTTAATTATTAAATCACCATATTGGGTTAGCTTATATGTAATTGGTAACAAAAGGAACTAATTAACTTAAATCGTTTAACTCAGGGATTGAAAGGCTAAAAAAGATCACAGAAAAAATACACTTACCAAAGCTTGGACCAAAAATACAATTGGTCTTTTAAGTACACCTTCCACCACTACCTTAGTATTGCTTTGGGCCAAAAAAAAAAAGACAAACAGATGTACCAACATTTGGGCCCAAAAAAAATTGATCTTTTAAGTACACCTACCGCTGCCGAAGTATTGCTTTGGGCTAAAAATAAAATACACCCACCGAAGTACCAATGAATAGGACACTCGTAATTAAAAATTAATTAACTATAATGAGTAGTATTAACTATTTGTTAATTTGAATAAACGAAATTTAATTTTTTTTAATGTAAATAAAAAGATAGATATTAGAAAAATATTCTTGTTATGAGATTTGGTATAGTTTGATTTTAAATTAAGGAGATTTAATGTCATCTTTTTTTTGTACTGAAAGATAATAAAAAAAATTCTTAGTCTTTAGTCAAGTTTGGGTCCAGTTCCTCCTAGCTTAAGCTGGCCAGAAGGCCCGGAACCTTAAGCCTGTGTTGTGGGCTGCCACGATGGATGCTATTCTGAAGTCTGAACTTTTAGTGCGGTTATGGTATATACAAAAATAAAAAGTCTAAACATTAGCTAAGGGCACCTCTCATGTGTAATAGAGGCCACACTGTTAGACATGGCCTTCTTGATCACCCATTATTGGTCCAGTTAGGTAAGTATTACATTTAATGATTTGAACCATACCATAAGATATGAAAATGCACAAGCAGAACCCCAAATCCACCGTTCAAATCGGAGAGTAGGATAAATCCATCCTTAAAAAAAATAAAATAAAATAGGATAAATCCATCCTTAAAAAAAATAAAATAAAATAAAGATAAATTACCTTTTTAAATTATCAATTAAGATAAATCACCCGTTATTTAATGTGTGATATCATCACATATAAGAAATTTGTTTGTCACCTAAGCATTTTTTAATGAAAAGTTGTTGTATGATGACGTTACATGTTAAATAATGAATTATTTGTCTTAATCAATAATTTTAAGGGGCAATTTGTCTATGTATTTTTTTGAGGGGTTGATCTCTCCTTGCCCTCTTATTTAAGGGGTGAATTTAGGGGTTTTGGCAAAATGCACTTCTGAGTGGATAAAAGCTTGAGCCTTTAATTTGCAAATCTCAAATTTGAATTTTAAAATAGATGGGAAGGAAATAAGGGAATGAGCGAGTTATCTCATGTTGTATAACAATCATTTAATGTTATATATATATATATATATATATATATCCAAATTATAAAACAGGAACCGTCTGATAGAAAGAGGGCTCCAATATTAGGGAGCCCAATTGGTTAGTGTTTTATAGTTTGAATTAATTTGGACTATAAAATACTTATATATATATATACATATATATATATGAGGAGGGACTCATTCACATACAAGTTTTATACATCACATTTATATAAAATGTTAATCATTTATCTAATAAGGGGTCCAAGTCCAAGAGGAGTGGAAATTGAACATGGCATGTTTAGTAAATTGTAATGTGGGGGAGATTCCATTCAAATACCTCAGAGTGCAAGTGGGTGGAAACCATAGAAGATTAGCCATGTGGCAATCACTGGTAGATTCTTTCAAAAACAAATTATCTATGTGGAAAGGTTGATGGCTATCACTCGATGGTAAAATTGCTCTGTTGAATTATGTGCTCACATGCCAGCTTGTGTTCTTATTGTCTGTATATCTTGCTTCTAAGAGTATTGTGAGGACAATTGAAAAAATTAGAAGGAATTTTCTTTGGGGAGGGTGTGAGGGGAATAGGAAAATTCATTGAGTTAGTTAGAAAGGATATGTAGAAATAAGAAAGAAGGTGGTTTGGGTGTAAAGGACATTAGATATTTCAATTTGGCTCTTCTTGGAAAATGGTGGGATAAGTTAGCTAGAGGTGAGGAAGGTTTATGGTTTAAGCTCATAAAGGAAAAATATGGTTGTGCAAATGAAAATTGGCATACTTGGGTCATGGAAGGGAGGGGGGTGGGTTCTAATTGGTGGAAAGACTTTTGTAGGGTACATAACTTAGTAGAACATGAAAGAGGATGGTCATCAAATGGGTTTGAAGT